GTTCGGAATTGAAAAATATCGGTCCGCTCCTTCGTGTACCTCTCCCACAAAAGGTCAACATTATTTCAATTTTGTGCAAACTTGGCAAATCCCAATATTTATATCAGTTCTATGTCAGGTGTTAAAATCGAGATTATCGGCCCACCCCCTTATGCAGCTCCCCACAAAGATTAAATATTTTAAATAATTATAACTCTCATAAAATGCGACATAAGACTCCGATTCTCTTGAAATTTCACACATCCCAATATTTCTACTAACGTTAGATCTAGTGTGAAGGTGGGATATATCTGTCCACGCCTCCTGGTACCTACAACGGGTCAGAAGCTCATAAAGTGCGAAATAAGCTTCTGATTCATTTTATATTTATTTTTATCAGCAAAAGATCTGGCGTGAGAATGAAAAATATCGGACTACTCCTTTTGAGGTACCAAATGGGCTACATTTTGAATAACGAATTCTCATTATATCTACTAACACAAGATCTGCTGTGAAGATGGAATGTATCGGTCCACTCCTTCTGATACTATCTTCTACAAAGGTCAACGTTTTATGTCAAACTTTGTTTATCTCAACACTTTTTCCAAGCAGAGAACTGATGTGAATATTGAATTTATCAGTCCACTTTTTCCGATATCTTTCCTTCTTGAGGCAACATTTGGAATAATTATAAAGTCTGCGATTGTGTATCTCAATGTTTTTATCAACAATAGACCTGATGTAAATATAGGATATGTCGATCAACTCTTTCTGATAACTCCCCCGTTAACTTCAGCATTTTAATATATCTCATGTAAAGTGAACGAAGTGGTATAGTGTATATCCCACTTAGGGCAGATGAAATATAAAATATTGGCCAACTCGATCGATACCTGCTCAACATAGGCTCAATATCATGAATATTCATAACGCAAGTCAAAATATATTTAAACAAGTTTAAAAGTGTCAATCGATTTTGCCGACAGATGTATACCCGCAACCAATTATTTAAATATATTTTGACATCTGTTATAATTATTCAAATTGGCCTATATTGACCATTTCGTATCGGACCTAAATTCCAGATACCTTTTACCACAGGCACCAGATATAGTCGACCGAAGTAATCCATTTTCATACTTCATCTAATACAAATAAAAATATTGTTATAGACAAGAAAATCGAACATTTACATCCTATTTTATGCAAAATCATAAATTCCATATTCATCTCAGGTTTCTGGTTGAGAGAAATATTTCGATATGGCAAGTTGTAAAGAATCGCTGACTGGTTTCGCAAGTTGTTTTGAATTGATCGATATATCAAATCTTCACAACAGATCTTGTGTTAGTAGAAATAATGGGCAGTGTGAAATATAAAGAGAAACGTATGCTTATTTCTGATTTTATAATTGTTTTGGCTATTAAAAACTTTGACCCTTTGTGAGGCAGGTACCAGAAGGAATGGTCCGATCTCTACCATCTTTATAAGAGATCTTGTGTTGATGGAAATATTGAGATTTACCAAGTCTGAATGAAATAGGTTGTTAATTTCGCATTTTATGAGCTCCATGGATATTCAAAATTTTGACCTTTTGTGGGGGAGGTACCAGAATGGGTGGACCGATATATTCCATCTTCAACACTGAACTTTTTTAGTAGAATAACGAGATGTATGAAGTATAAAGAGAACCGGGTGCTTATTTTGGATTTAATGACCGTTTCGGTTATTCAAAACTTTGATCCTTCCATATTCACACCAGATCTCGGCTTAAAATCGATATTCTGATGTGTGCAATTTGAGACAATCCAACTCTTAAAATGTTGACCCTTTGTGGGCAAGGTACTTGATGGAGTGGGCGTATATTGTCTATGTTTCGCACCTGATACAAATATTAGAATTTACAAAGTTTTAGAAAAATCGGATTATCCTTTCTCTTTCGGTGCAATATTTTTCTTGAAAATTTCGATCCTTTGTGGGGAGGTAGGTTTGATAATAATATTACGATGTACCAAGTTTGGATCAAATCGGATACTCGCTTCGAGAGATATCGTGCACACCAGCCAGCCAGACAGACAGACGGACAGATGGACATCGCTAGATCGACTCCAAATGTCCTGTACGGATTTAGTCCAAAGAGACCTAGGGTCTAAAACCGCTATTTCGATAAGGCACGTTTTAGCCGTAAGAAATATACCCTCTCTGGTCATATGAATGAGGGTATAAAAATTGAAATGGTTTGGATAAGTTCAGGTTTTCCTTTACTGCATTTAAAATTTTTAACTGCATTCATCAACCGATCTCACTTGTATTTGCAGATTAATTGAAGCAATATTGAATTCCTTCACTTATATTTAGAAACATTCTTTGAACTCATGTTGGAGGGTATTGATGTCCTTTTAATTGTTTTATTCTTTATCTTCTTGACAACATTGGTTCAAATAGATCAAGAACGTTTTGTGTTGATTCACTGTCAAACTGTCTTCAGATTTGACTACAATTTGACTATGAATTACTATGAATTATTTTACAATCGAACACCGCTTGCAAATCATTGAATTTTATTTTCAAAATATGTGCCCTGTTAAAAAAGAAATATTATGTTCAGCGACGAAGCCTATTTTCGGCCCAATGGTTACGTACATAAACAGAATTGTCGATTTTGAAGTGAAGATTAGTCCGAAGCATTGCAAAAGCTACCAATGTACCCGAAAAAGCAAGAGTTTGGATTATTTATTCATAAGATACCGACCGAAATGTTAGAAAATATATCCCATAATTAGACTAAGCCGATCGACCATTTGAAGCACATGTACGGTCAACATGTTGACATGAAATAATCTTCAAACATGTACGGTCAACATGTTGACATGAAATAATCTTCAAATATCGTAATGCCGTACTATTAATAGCCTGGCCGAACTTTTGATACCCTCCACCTTTGGGTAATGGAAACATTTTTATATAAAAATGTTTTTTTGGGAAATGCTGTTAAACTTTTCAAAAAAAAAATAAATAAATAAATAAATAAATAATAAATAAATAAAAAAAAAACATGAAGTGAGTGAGGTCGTTATATGGGCGCCATACCAAAACGGGAACCTCTATAGACAATTTTATACTTTAAGGATTGTCATCTACCAAATCTTCTTAATTTCAAATTTTAAACAATTTCGTGTGTAAATGAGACTAGGATTATCAAAATACCGAATGTCGGTGGGTATCGTTATATGTGCGCCATAGTAAAACGTGGACCTATACATTAAAAGTCACGCCACCGGAGCTTGAACCCAATTACCAATTTGTAGACAAATATCTAGTTGTACCTTAATATGGGGGCTATATAAATACGTGGACCTATACATATAATATTTCGCTACAGGAGCTAGAACCCATTATGACCTAAAAATATCAATTTTAAGACAAATTCATGAAAAAATGTGGCGAAAATCATAAAAATACCGAATATCGGGAGTTACCTTTATATGGCGGCTATAACAAAACGTGGACCGATACATCTCATTATCAATACCAACCAACCTAGACACAACAGAAATTGTTCTGCCAAATTTTGAAGCTCAACGTCAAATAATGTGGGCTGTATCGTGATTTCAACAGACGGACACTTTTCAAGGTAGAAGTACATTAAATTTGAAAAAAATCGGTTCAGTTATAGCTATATATGTTTCATCCGATTTGGTGTTTAAAGTCCCGCACACGCGTAATATGCACTCACAAGAATGATATTTAGTATCAGATATCAGATACAGCCCAAAAATACCTCTGCTAAATGTTATAAATATCGGTTCACATTTGGATATAGCTCCCATATATATCTTCAACCGATATTAGCTTTATTGTGTACCAATTCAGTGTAGAAGCAAGTACATTAAATTTGGTTAAAATCGATTCAGATATAGCTACAGCTTCCATATATATGTTTCATCCGATTTGCTGTTTAGGTCCCTCACATTCGTAATATGCACTCCACAACAATGATATTTGATTCCGGGCATCAGATACTGCTCGAAAATAACTCTGCCAAATTTTATCGAGATCGGTTATATCTTCATCCGAATTTACGGTTATTGCTCACCATATATATAATATTAGCCCAAATTGGATAGCTCTACTAAATATGCATTGTGGTTTAACACATAGTCGGCGCCACCCGACTTTTGATCTTTCCTTCCTGCTTCCAAATTGTTTTTGTTTCAATTTACTTGACTGGAAGATATGGACCTGGTGTATTTGAGTAGGCGATATAAATATGATATAGACTTTTTCACAACTGTTTAAATTTAACAGCTTCAACAATAAATTAAAAAAAAAAATTAAAATAAAATAAAATAAATACATTGAAATTTATATATTTTTCTTTGTAAGGCTTTCCCAAATAAAAATAAAAATTGGTTTATTGCTCTACAAATTTTGAAGGCTATAATCACGTCATAAAGAATTTCTCAAAGCATTCCTCATTGCCACCTTGAATGACTTGGACGATGTCAATTTCATGCCAAAATAATAATAAAAAAAACTACTGAAACTAAAATAAGCCTCGAACACACACACGCACACGTCTAAACGACCATTGTAATTCGAAATGGTTAAAGAAAATAAAACCATTACAAAAGTCAATGGCAGTTAAACACTTGTCCCCGATTAGAGAAACGTCGCTTTCGTGTTTTTTTTATTATTTCGCCAACAAACCAGCCAACGAAGAATATAATTTTACACCCCGCGGTACCGGGTGACGCGGAGAAGGACCATAAAATCGTATTGATTTTTCATTCATTCCATTTTATTGTTTTTCATTGCTAACTATGACCGAATGCGAGCAAAAAATGAAAGTGGCAATGAAAAGGAAGCCATAGGCAATGGCCAAAAAGGAATTCAATAACGGCCTAAAGGGTCTGTCTACATATTCTGAGGTGGTGCGCGCGCACATTTTGTAATGATTTTAATGATGTTTTGGCCAAAAACACGAGAAAGAGCATCAACAACAATAACAACAATCATGGAATGAGGAAATCAAAACTCTCATAGATTCCGATATAAACATGAGATTTGTGTCAAACGGTTCTCTCCGAGGCTCTCAGCCGTTTGTCATGTGTTCGAATCCTGCGAATACACACACAACAAGCGATACATGCCGAGGCAAGCACAACTTCTGGCAAACGGCAGGAACGCACACAGAAAATGAAATAAAACGGTTTTTTATTGTCGGTGGTCGGGATAAACAGTAACAATTCCACAGCGAACGAGAGAGAGACCATTTCGTGGAAACTCTGAAGTTTAAAAAGTGAAGTTTTCCGTGGCAGGCAGATAAAGAGTTTTCGTTGAATAGCAAAGACCGAAAGCAGAAAAATTGTGAACCGAAAAAAACTCAAAAAAAAAAAAAAAAAAAAAAAAAAACAGAAAACAACAGAAAATTAACTTCAAAATTAGAGTATCCAGTTGTGAATCACCAGCAGCAGTTGCCAGACAGACGGCCTAGCATATTGCAGTTGCAGTGGATTTCCCTTAGTTTGTAGTGGTGGACTGGAACATGGAGTTATGAATGTGTGCGTGTGTGTCACGAAAAAAAGAAGTGTTAAAAATCGATAAAAACGAGATTCGGAAGAAACGAGTTAATTTTTTTTTTATACAAATATCAATCGATTTTGAAAATAAAAATTGGAAAAAACAATTCAACTGCCTCTAAATATACACAGCACACATACACACAACCAACGCCATACAACGTGTCGTCGAACCAAGGCCTGGTTATATAACAAACAACTAATCAACTAAGCTGCTGCCTTGGGGTGTATGCAAAACATCCGCAACTAGGCAAAACGACAAACGTCACCAGCGAAAAAAAATTAAATCTCAACCGTCCCCAGCACTTTGCGATAAAATTATAGACTTCCAGAAGCTACTAGATTGAGGCCGAATACAAAATTAGCCAGCAAACTACATTCAGCTGCTGTAATTGGAACACACAACCCTACAGCTCGGCCTAATTATGGAGTTTTCATAAGATTCCAGTCTAGCTGCCAGTTGAAAATTGAACGCAACAAAAACCCCCCTCACCATCAGCAGCAGCAGCAGCATCAGCACCCTTCATCGTCACAGCCACCCAACAAGGAGTTTGAAGGAAATTCGTCTTCTTCTTCTTCGGGGTTTTCTACAACAACAACAACAAGAACACCAACCTACTTTCTACTTCCCAACCATCTTCACATTGCCATAGGCCATGGGCAAGAAAAAAGTACCCAGTGAAGATCTAATTGTCCCACCACAGGACCAGCGTATCTGCGGCACCATATGTGTCTGTCAAATGACTTTGGTCTTGAGTTCGGTCGCCCTAGTCTATCTAACCGTTGCCATTTATATGCCCTCGACGCGAGCCTTTAAGAGCGGCATCGATGAGACACCCGTCATGTGCACCACCACGCGAGCCGTCAACAAGGAGAACTGCGACTGGGGCTCCTGCGGTGAGTGGTGTCTGAGCAAAACGTCCGGTGCCTGCATACAGATCTATGTCAACCTGCGCAACAACGGCACCAACCTCACGTTCCAGAACTGCACGAATTCGGCCAACAAAACGTGCTACGGCATCGACCAGGATCGGGCCGACAAGGCGCGCTGCATCAATGACGAGTGTAAAAATCTCACCGGCACCTTTAACTGCACTGCCGGCCAGTGCCTGAACATCACCGATGCATTTGAGTGTGTCTTCAAGAACACCGACTCGCCGGTCAAGTGTTCCGGTCGTCGCGGGAAGATCAACTGCATGGACATAACCGGACTGTATTCCTGCACCCGAGGGACGTGTCGCAAAATCCGGACGCCCTACAACTGTGATCGCCGGTGCCTGGACATCCCAACACGCAACAAGAACGTCGTCATACTCAGCGGCGACAAGGTCTACATGTCACGCTGTCAGAATGCCATAAACATCGACACCGGCGACGAGGTGTGGAACGAGACGGAGGACAATGTTGTCATGGCCTCCTGCTACTACATCAACAATGCTGCCGATCGCGTCGATGCCATTGACAAGATGGATGCCGTGGACTGCATCAATGGGTCGACGCTCGACAAGGGTATGCTCACAGATCTGACGAACTTCACGTACCTGAGTCATTTGCATGTATCGGTGGCCACTCTGATACCGGAAATAGCTCCGCCCGACATTGATTTAACCATATCGAATGAGTCCCGACTCATGATCAATCTCGAGGGCTGTGTCAATACGCTGATGGACGAGTGCAAGGAGTTCCTGAAGGACTTTGGCCGCGATGGCAGCGATCATAATGCGCGTGCCCGGTTTCCCTGCTTCTATGCGCCCCAGAAGAAGGATGTTGTGGTGGCTCGCTTCGATCTGGAGGTAACCTATCGTCAATTTCTGATTGCCTCGGTGATACCATCGGTACTGTTTGTGGTCTCGTGTCTGGTGCTGCTGCTGTGCCAGAAGACCGTCTATGTGGGCGATGATGCGAAGATGCGCTTCAAGGGATGTGTCGATACGGATACGATCCTATCGAAAAATGCTTTGGATCAGAATCAGGATGATAACGGTGCCGGTGGAGGTGGTGATGAGGTTATGGCTCTATGAGATCCGTCACGTAAGAATTGTTTTGTTCAAAGTTTTTTCTGTTGTAGTTTTGAAGTGTTATTTGTATTCGTATTCGATAGCCAAGAGTTAATATGTGATGTGAAATAATCTGATAAATAAGTGGGATGATGTGGGTTAATAATTTAATATCTTCGACATGTTTTATGAATTCTCAGAAAATGTCTATATAAATTACTCACATTGAACCGAATTCGTATTTCGCTTGGGGTATGGAGTCGAGATCAAATGTCAATTTTTTGTCAACCGTTCTATTGATTTTTTCCTGCCAACAAATTAAATTTTATTTTCAAGTTTTTACTTCCCAATCCAAAACTGACAAAAATCAATTTCGATTTTAGAAAAAAAATAAGTAAAAAAAAAACATTAAGTTCGGCCGGGCCGGAAACCTTTTTTATAAAAGTATCTGAATTTAAGCGTGTTTCACTTTAAACTTCATATACCAGTTAGACCGTTTTCATAATGCAGTTAAAGTTATCAAAAACCCAAAAAGTGAGTGAGGCCGTTGTATGGGTCCATACCACAACAGAAACCTCTAAAGACAATTTTATGCTACAAGGATTGTCATATATCAAATCTTCTAAAATATCAAATTTGAAACAATTATTTTTGTAAATGTGACTAGGATTATGAAAATACCGTATATCGGTGGGTATCGTTATATGGGGATATACCAAAACGTCGACCTATACATACAAGGTTTCGCCACACAAGCTAGACACCATTACGAACTACCAATATCAATTTCTTGACAAATCCGTTAAAAAATGTGTTGCAAAAATCATCAAAATACCGAATATCGCGAGGTACATTGATATGGGGGCGCGGACCTACACATATAATGTTTTTCCACCGGAACTAGAACCCATTATGACCCACAAATACCAATTTTAGACAAATCCGTGAAAAAATGTGGCGAAAATTTTCAAAATATTGAATATTAGGATGTACCGTAACATAGGGGCTATACCAAAACGTAGACCTATGTATACTATGTTTCGCCACCGGAGCTAGAACCTACTATGATCTACAAATACCAATTTTTAGACAAATCCTTGAAAAATGTGGCGAAAATCTTCAAAATACCGAATATCGGGGGGTATATTGATATGGGGGATACGCAAAAACGTACATACAATGTTTTGTCACCGGAGCTAGAACCCGTTACGAACTACAAATACCAATTTTTAGATTAATCCGTGAAAAAATGTGGCAGAAATCATCAAAATACCGAATATCGGGAGGTACAGGTATGTTGCGGCTATACCAAAACGTGGACCGTCATATCTCATTTTCAATACAACCAAATTATTGTGCAAAATTTTTAAGCTCCATCGACTTGGAATTTTATGCTGATTCTAAATATATAGACTTTATGGGGTCTAAGACGAATATTTAGGGATGTTACAAACAGATTGACAGAGTTAATATACCCTCATTTTCAAGGTGGAGGGTACAACAATTATGTCTTGAGAGTGGATCTTAAATAACTACTGGAGCTTGGTCCGTTCAGAGGAACATTTTAACACCTTTCAAGAGCGATATTTTGTGGTGAATTGGCAGTAATTGGACAGACCTCCAAAGATGTGAACACCGTCTGTTTTTTTTCGGTTTTTGGGGGAAAATTGAAAACAGATCACACAAACGCAATTTAGAGCTTAAGACAAGAACTACTCCTGAAAAATTATTTTAATATAACACCTTTTTTGATTCTGGTCCAATTAAAGGGTATTGTACAATTACTTAATGCAATCATTTTCGGGTCATGGTCTGGGGTGTGGAAAATCCAAGTGCGTTTTTATACCCTTAACTATATGGCTACAGGAGACCAAATCCATTTTAGAACATTTTGAGTCGGTTTAGAGGTGTCCGTCTGGCTGGCGCGCACGGTAAATCTCAAAGGGAGTTTCCGATTTGATCTACATACATTTGGCACATCGTAATATTATTGAGATTGAGATGGGCAAAATCGGTCCACTCCTTCAGGTTCCTCCCCCACAAATAGACAACATTTTAAAAGAAAAAAAATACCTTATAGAACAAGAAAATATCAGCTAATTTTATGCAAACGTAGAAAATCCTAATATTTTTGTCGGTATAGTGCGAAAATGGACAATATCGGCCATTAAATTTCGTATTTGGTCTTCCTATTGACCACTATTATCTCTGGTGGTAGAGTATTCTTTGTAGATCCATGTTTTCCCTTAATCCCCACATAGCGGTACCACCCAATGTTCGGTATATTAATGATTTCATGTTCTCTAACGGATTTTTTTTAATTTCGTTTTTTTGAATTTTATAGTATATGGACTCAGCTTTTCCTGATTTTCAAAACAAAAAAACAAAACTAGTAGGTTTTAACTTAAAACAAGTGAAAAAACATTAAGTTCGGCCAAGTCAAACTTTTAATACCCTCCACCTTAGGGTAAAAGAAACCTTAGAAGAAATGTGGCAAAAACCATCAAACTACCGAATATCGGGATGTACCGTTATATGGGGGCTATACCAAATCGTGGACCCATACATGCAATGTTTCGCTACCGGAGCTGGAACTCATTATGACCAGCAAATACCAATTTTTAGACAAATCCGTGAAAAATGTGGCAAAAATAATCAAAATAACGAATATCGGGAGGTACATTTATATGGGGGCTATACCAAAACGTGGACCTATACATGCAATGTTTTGCCACACGTACAGGGACCCGTTATGACCTACAAATACCAATTTTCAGACAAATCCGTGAAAAATATGGAAATAACCATCAAAATAACAAATATCGGGAGGTACCGTTATATGGGGACTATACCAGAACGTGGACCGATATATCTCATTTTCAATACCAACCATCCTAGACACAATACAAATTACTCTGCTAAATTTTGGCGCTCTACGTCAAATAATGTGGGCTGTATCGTGATTTCAACAGACAGACGGACATAATTAAATCGACTTAGAAAATTTGGCAAATGTATTTTCGAGATTTATAAGATATCTGATAGCAAATATCATTGTTGTCGAATGCATATTACGAATGTGAGGGATACCAAATCGGATAAAATATATATATGGGAACTATAGCTATAACTAAAAAGATTTACCTAAATTTGATGCAATTGCTTCTAGACTGAATTCGGTCGGATGAGACAAAATACAGGTCATTTGGACTGATATTGGCCATTTGGTGCACAATTAATCGGTTGAATATATATATGACACATATATCCAAATCTGAACCGATCTTGATAATATATCTCAGAGGTATTTCCGAGCTTTATAAGATATCTGGTACCAAATATCATTGTTGTCGAATGCACATTACGGATTTAGAGGAATTAAACACCAAATTGGATGAAATATATATATATATGAGAGCTATGGGTATATACAGGGTGAGATAAAAAAATTGCAACAAAGTCAAACGCCATAATTTTTACATTTATTTTTAAATTTTATTAAATGAAAGCAAAAAATGTCGGAAATAGTATCAAACTTTAGAAATAGTTTAAATTTGTTAGAATTGGTCACCATTGACACAAATTATGGCCTTCAAACGGCCATTGTTGGTCTGCGGTATTTTGGCCCATTCCCGGCGAAGCGCTTGCTTGAGGTGATCGACACTTTGGTACTTTTTAGTGCCAACCTTGCTTTCCAAAATACTTCAGACACAATAGTCCAACGGATTGGAGATTTTGGTGGTCATTGTGCGCTGGGAATGAAGGGAGGAACCACATTTTGTAACCATTCTTGGGTGGCGCATGCTGAGTGCGATGATGCTGAGTCCTGTTGGAATGTCCAAGGTCTGGGGCCAAAATTTTTGCATGCCCAAGGCTATAATACACACTCCCGAATTCTGATGCCCCGGCCGATTAATACGAGCGGAGAGCGACTTTTGGCTGTTATGGCGGCCCACACCATCACCATGGCCGGCGCTTGAGTTCTGGTGGCCAACCGAAGGTGCACATTTTCAGCTGACCTCTTTGGCAAGTAAACACGATCATTTTGTTTGTTTACAAACTGCTGCACAACGAATGTTTTCTCATCAGAGAAAACCGAATTCGGCAGTTCACCACATTTGGCCAAGCGAAGTAACTTTGTAGCTCTTGTGACCCTATTTGCTTTATGTTGTGGTGTAAGTTCTTGCACTTTTTGGAATTTCAATGGCTTTACCCCGAGCTCATTTTTCAATTTTTGCCGAATGGAATATTGCGATATGTTCAGCTCACGAGCCACTTTTCGGCCACTGCGACGTGGGTTTCGATCAAGTCGCTTCTTTACTTTTCGAACCATTTCTGCTGATGTTGTTGTTTTCTTCCGTCCACTTCCTTGACGTCGGGCTACGCTACCTGTAACACGGTAACGAGCGGTAGTACATGACACAAATGATTTTTTCACATTTAAATGCTGACGATAGCCACTTGTAGTTTTCAAGCCAAATATAAAGAAATCAGACCCTTGAATTCCATCACAAATAACTTTTTTTCTGAAAATTTCTGAAAATCCAATTTCAATAGGGCTCGTCCTTGAGCCAAACAAATATTGTTTGGAAAATTTCATCTCAATCAGAAAATAAATGCGATCTGCATTTTGTCCACACAAATACATGGATAGACGGACGGACTGACATGCATAAATCGACTCAGAAAGTGATTCTTTGAAGATCCTCTAAAGTAACTATGGATCTATCTCGCTTCCTTCTCCATGTTACAAAAATGCACAAAGACATAATAACCTTAGTACTATATGGTGTAGGGTGTAAAAAATTGGCTAAATATATATTCGTTTTCGTATATCCTCTTAATAACGGAAACTCCAGATATTAAGTATTTTGACTATCGATTTCACTGCGAATTTCCCAAGCCCAACTATTGCTAATATTTTGATGATCCTACGTATTTTCACTTCATAGAAATGTTCTATTGAATTTCATGTTTTATTACGGCATTAGTATAACAAAAACTCCATATTTTAGGACTTTCAAGGTCTTAAAT